CAGACGACTCTCGTGGTGAGGCCATGGTCTGTTAGCAGACAACTAGTGGTAAGGTCAGAGTTTGTTAGCAGACGACTCTTGTGGTGAGGTCAAGGTTTGTTAGCAGACGACTCTCGCGGTGAGGCCATGGTTTGTTAGCAGACGACTTTCGCGGTGAGGCCAGGGTTTGTTAGCAGACACTCTTGAGATGAGGCCATTGTTTGTTAGCAGACGACTTTCGCGGTGAGGTCAGGGTTTGGTAGCAGACACTCTTGAGATGAGGCCATGGTTTGTTAGCAGACGACTCTTGTGGTGAGGTCAGGGTTTGTTAGCAGACACTCTCGAGGTGAGGCCATGGTTTGTTAGCAGACGACTCTCGTGGTGAGGTCAGGGTTTGGTAGCAGACACTCTCGAGGTGAGGCCATGGTTTGTTAGCAGTGAGGCCATGGTTTGTTAGCAGACAACTCTTGCGGTGAGGCCATGGTTTGTTAGCAGACGACTCTCACGGTGAGGTCAGGGTTTGGTAGCAGACACTCTTGAGATGAGGCCATTGTTTGTTAGCAGACGACTTTCGCGGTGAGGCCAGGGTTTGGTAGCAGACACTCTCGAGGTGAGGCCATGGTTTGTTAGCAGACAACTCTCGCGGTGAGGTCAGGGTTTGGTACCAGACACTCTCGCGGTGAGGTCAGGGTTTGGTAGCAGACACTCTTGAGGTGAGGCCATGGTTTGTTAGCAGACGACTTTCGCGATGAGGCCAGGGTTTGGTAGCAGACACTCTTGAGATGAGGCCATGGTTTGTTAGCAGATGACTCGTGGTGAGGTCAGGGTTTGGTAGCAGACACTCTTGAGGTGAGTCCATGGTTTGTTAGCAGATGACTTTCGCAATGAGGCCAGGGTTTGGTAGCAGACACTCTTGAGATGAGGCCATGGTTTGTTAGCAGACGACTCTCGTGGTGAGGTCAGGGTTTGTTAGCAGACACTCTTGAGGTGAGGTGATGGTTTGTTAGCTGACTCTCGTGGTGAGGTCAGGGTTTGGTAGCAGACACTCTCGAGGTGAGGCCATGGTTTGTTAGCAGACAACTAGCGGTAAGGTCAGGGTTTTTTAGCAGACACCTAGCGGTAAGGTCAGAGTTTGTCAGAAGACAACTCTCGTGGTGAGGCCATGGTTTGTTAGCAGATGACTCTCGCGGTGAGGTCAGGAATTGTTAGCAGACGACTCTCGCAATAAGGCCAGGGTTTGTTAGCAGACAACTCTTGCAGTGAAGCCATGGTTTGTTAGCAGACGACTCTCGCAATCAGGTGATGGTTGTTAGCAGACAGTAAGGTCAGAGTCTGTCAGCACTCTCGCAATGAGGCCAGACGACTCTCGCAATGAGGCCAGAGTTTGGTAGTAGACACTCTCGAGGTGAGGCCATGGTTTGTGAGCAGATGACTCTCGTGGTGAGGCCAGGGTTTGTTAGCAGACACTCTTGAGATGAGGCCATGGTTTGTTAGCAGACGACTCTCGTGGTGAGGTCAGGGTTTGTTAGCAGACACTCTTGAGGTGAGGTGATGGTTTGTTAGCAGACGACTCTCGTGGTGAGGTCAGGGTTTGGTAGCAGACACTCTTGAGGTGAGGCGATGGTTTGTTAGCAGACGACTCTCATGGTGAGGTCAGGGTTTGGTAGCAGACACTCTCGAGGTGAGGCCATGGTTTGTTAGCAGACAACTAGCGGTAAGGTCAGGGTTTTTTAGCAGACACCTAGCGGTAAGGTCAGAGTTTGTCAGAAAACAACTCTCGTGGTGAGGCCATGGTTTGTTAGCAGATGACTCTTGCGGTGAGGTCAGGAATTGTTAGCAGACGACTCTCGCAATAAGGCCAGGGTTTGTTAGCAGACAACTCTTGCAGTGAAGCCATGGTTTGTTAGCAGACGACTCTCGCAATCAGGTGATGGT